ATGGGAGGTAGGCGTGGTTATTATCCGATTTCGCCCATTTTCAATACCATCCGTCCCACGCCCAAAAGAAGTTCACGTACCAAGTTTCGTTAAGATATCTCAATTTTTACTCGAGTTATCGTGTGCACAGACGGACGGACGGACGGACGGACGGACGGACGGACAGACAGTCACCGCTTAATCGATTTCTCTTTTCACTCTGATCATTTATGTATACATTTGTCTATATCTGTCTCGATTCGTTTTGCCTGTTACAAACAACCGTTATGTGAACAAAGTTATAATACCCTTGTGCACAAGTGCGCTCGGGTATAAAAAAGGGTTTTATTTAGAAACAAATCTTCATATCTTTCATCTTCCACTATGTACACTCGCCAGCTTGCCCGCAACGCAAGCAATTCGTCTTCGGCTTCGTCTTCGGCTTCGCTTCCACTCTGTTTGCAACCTAACATAGAACAATAATCGAGGGACAGAAGCACAATACGTTGGATTTAGCAGTTGAATTTGAACTGATTGTACTTAGCAGCTTTACTCATCAAACAATTTTTGACAATTATATTTTTATATTAACGTATTTTTTTGCTTGCCAACTGCGGAATCGCCTACTCCTTCGAACTGCATCAAAAGGTCAATTTTGCCAAAAAACGGATTTAGCGGGTTTACACTCTAAGCCGACGATATGTATGTATGTAAAAATTTTTTTACAGGAAAACGTAATCCAAAATACAACCATGCATTTATCTAGTTTTGCTCTACAGCCGTGCATTTAATTATATTAAATTTGTTCTAGAATTGTAACCATATCGTTAAATTGCACTGCTGGCACTGATTTGAAAGAGAAAAGTAGGAGAGGGAATGCTAATGTTACACTAATATGTTATATTTAAAGGTTGCATTAAAATGTATGATTGTGAATAAAGAAAAGCATTTTTTTATCGGTTTTAAATTGGTTACAACCAAGAAACATACATACGTCAAAAACCGATAACAGAGATGCTTAACTTTAGACATAGCTTTATTTTTATATAATATAAAGTGAGCTTTAAAGTTAAAGCTTACTTCAGAAAACGGCCCTAAGGGTCTTCATATCTATTTTGATAGTTTCGGTAAATTGCTAGTTGACACTCGGTAATTTTATCAACTGTGAACGTCCTTTCCAGTTTTCTTTTGTTATAGCCTAGTTATGCATACTTGCACTGCTATATCATTTTTACGTAAAAATCAAAACCCAACAGAATTCTACATGTGAAGTGCTATGCGTTGGGTAACCACTTACACGCAAACCCTATATAAGTCTGGTAAACTATATTTATCAAAAGCGGACTCGTAGCTTTATTCCTAAAAAAAAATAAATTGTAACAGAAAATTTAAGGGATTTAATTACTCATATACGTTATGCCTTTCAGCAGCGGACGGATTAATTGAATAAATATCGAACAGCTGATTGCACCAACTATTAGAAAAATTATCAAGCTTCCTCCACGATAATTCGGTAACCGGTAATTAAATAAAATTGAAGCTTAAAAAACTGAAACCTCGCTATTAAAATTTCCATTCGTACTGTTATCAGGTTACTTTAAGAATGGAAGTTGACAGCAATTCCCATTGGTACTGTCATCAGGTAGGTAACTTGAGAATGGAAATCGCTGCATCTTTTAGGCGCATCAATATTACATAGTTACATCCCAAGCTAATAAAAGCGAGGTAAAAAAACCGCAATTGCTTAATTCCTTTGCATTCTTTGTTTTGCTAAAAAAATACAATAAAAACAAATTTGAAGATTTTTTGGCCGAAATGACGATCTTTTTAGGGTAAAGTGACGCTTTTCCAGCGAAAGCTTTCGGCAACGCTGTGTCCTCTCCCTTTCTTTCCGTCTTCTGCATCCAGCTTCAACACGAAACGCCCTGTCAAAAATGAGTGGGATTCTGCATACAAATTGTATGGGAATGAGGATTTTTGACAGTTGTTTGGCGCTTGACGCCAATCTAGGGACGGCAGTTAGACATCAAACATGTTTTTGAGCATTCAAAACGTCGAATTGATTGATGATTTCTTCTTTTTTCTGTGGACCTAAAATAAATTGCGAGGTCAACGTATTTGGAGGCCTGACGAAGCGGTTGATGCGTTCAATTCACATTTGGATTCAATGTTTCAAGCTAGAGTCCGACTGATTAATCGGCATCGGCTACTATCCGCCAAAATAATCGGCATCGGCACCGGCATTGGCCGATTCTTTTTACTTTTTCCGCACTTTATTCAATGTTATTTATTTTTTACTTTTTTAATTCTGTTAAAGTTTAAAATATTAATGCATCTGAGTTCGCGTCATTAATGTATTCTCATGGTACATTTATATGACGTAGGGTAGCAAAAATGTAAGTGGGGTCGACACATTTTAGCAAGTTTTGGCTATTTTTCTTAGTTTATTTTTTCTTATGAAAATATAGCTTACTTAACCATAAATCAAAATTTCAAACTTTGTAGAACATTTATAAAAATTCGACAAATCTTAACAAATGTTCATCAAAATTTTGGAACTGTTTAATCAGATTTTTAAAATTTTTTGGAGTACGCAGTTTTTTGAATTTTAGTAGTGCGATTTTAAAGTAGCTATTTAGGTAAGTGTTGACTTTTGACAATTTTTTGATCACGCACTTTATTCAAATGAAATTGAATGGGCTACAAAACTGCATACTCAGAATGGTTAATGAAAAAGTTTGCAATTTTTACTAACATGTTTTTCTTTTCGATAACGAGCTACACTTTCATAAAAAAAACAATAAACATTAAATAGACGGAAGGGAAATAGCCAAAGAATGCTAAAGCGTCGTTACTGTAAGTTTTGTTACGATTATCTTTGAATTAATCCCTGAATTCCTAAATCTTTCGGGTTCTTTTCACTGAATTGTTAAATTGTTTACGTTGCAAAAATACTTTTATCATAAAAAATCTACGGTTACTGTTTATTATCAAATTTTATTCAATACAACACCTTTATAGTCAGCAGAAGCCGCATATTTTTACTACTAAATATGAGTACAACTATGAAATCTGATTTCGAATTAAGTATTTTTTAACATTGAATGAGAAAAAGACTATGGAACAAAGTATTGCAATGATATATATGCATAGGCGATATACTACTTTTAATACATATTTATGCACGTACATAAATAAGTGCATAGATTCTTGAATGATTATTTGTTTTGTAATGTATTTGTTTATGTTTTTCTTTTGTTATTATAAAAGTTTATCAAAAACATTTGTTCTCGAATGAATTTATATTCAGGTAGTTTTTTTTTAAGGAATCGACATCGGCATCGGCATCGGCCGATTCTTTGCCCTAAGGCTGTGCTATATTTCCACACTAAGTAGGAACCTTCGTAGTATATGAGGAAATTCGTCTTGCAAATTTGGAAGAAAATATTTTTTTTTATCGGAACTATCAAAAAACAACGCGAGCAAAAAACGACACTCAGGCTAAAAAAATGTAGATACTCTATCTTTACCCCAATAATTTTTGAAAATATTTTGAAAATCACTGCTCTATGGGGTATAATGAAATACGACAGCGATGGTGTCATCTTCAAACCAGCAACACCAACCACTTTCGCTCCCATCGCTTCGAACTAGTGCAATGCCAATAGAGAGCATTGCCGACTTAACAACATCGACGGTCTGTGATCACCGAAGCAAACTTCCTCCATACACATCGAGTTGGACAAAGCAGCTAACGACGTCGCAACCAACCACCATTACCACCAGTCAGACAGTCGCCGCATTCGCACACGCGTACCTTAATAACAGCAGTCAGTATTAACTTGAGTCCAAGACGGTGTGAACGCGAACGTGTCTTGATCGGATCGACGCATCGACCGATTGCACCGATAAGTGGCTAAAAACATTTAACAGTACGAAACTTGAAGCGGGTAAATCGAAATTGGTGTTTAGTTGAAATTCTACTTGGGGGCAAAGCAAAAAAAGCTCTGGTTAAGGAGCATCATTAGCTGTAAGGTGTAGCTCTGAAGCGTTTTGTCGCACCGCAATGAAGATTGCGAGACGTGCAAGGAGTGTGGCGGTATGAGTACAGTGATCAAGAAGTGGTAGAGTGCGGCGACAGAGGTGCTGGGTCGAACGATGGCCTGATGTGGTTTTATAAATTTTGTGCTGTGCGAAGAGTGTGTAAAGTGTCTGCCATGGTGTTGGCCATTATTGGCAATTTTCTTGCCAATCTGGGAAGGGCTCAAATAAAAAAGCCTACATATGCATACATCTTATGCATCTGTGCATATACATACATATATTTATGCACATAAATAAATATATACCTGTATGAGCGCATACATAAATTCATACATACCTACATACATAGTATAAATATAGATATGTACATCCATAGATAGATGTGCATTGACTTCAGCAAACTTTGTATTGGGTATATGTACATAAATACATGCCCACATATTTAAGTACGAAATGCTTATTTGGTAAATAATTAAAATTCTATTGACTATAATAAAGCAAAGAGTAGTAACATGTGAAATGAATTAAGTAAACCCAGCGCTGATATGCTGTGCAATTCGTAATTTTTGCAAGCAAAGAATCTCGTTATTTGTTTATGTTACTTCTATTCTCAAGTTTTAAATTCCATCTCATGTTTTTTGTTTGCTTTAGCGGCTTTCATGCAGTTAATGTGAGCAGGAAATAAACAAAAAATCCATATTGCACACATTTGCGTATTCATAGGCATCCAGCCACTTGCACATTTTTACATACACATTAGGGATGCTAATTTTTTCCGGGATTAAGATATTTATTATTTTTCAAACGACTTAACATGAAAAAATTGCATCAATATGGTTTGAGAAGCTCTCCTACCATATAATAAAACGGCGTATTCTGGTTTTCGTACGAATCGAAAATTTGAAATTTTTGAATACAAAATGATAGGAAAATTTCATGATTTTCGATCCGTAAGAAAACAAGAATACGCCCCAATAAGTAAATGGGCTTGAAAAATAACGAAACGAAAGACAGTAATTGATTTTATATGCATTTAATAATAATTTAGCTTGTACATATCTGATAAAGTAATTTAAGGTATGTCGAAAAAAGCTCGAAGCAAAAAAAAAAATTAAATCAAAAAATTTTATTTTCTGGTTGAAAGAAGTTTATAACACTAGTGGCAGAAATAAAAGAAGCGCCTTAACTCGACCAGTTTTGTCTATATTCCTTTGCAATGTAAAACAAAGATATAGGTACCAAATGAAATATTTTTTTTTTTTTGGTTCATTAGGACGAATAGGAATTGAAAGTGCCCCTTTAATCTACTTTATTTTTTAAGCTAATAAAGTTAGTCCTAACATATAATTTTTTCAAAAGTAAGAATTGCAAAATTTCAAGGATATTCAAGGATAAAATTATAAAGGGTGTCCCTTACGCACCAAAAAATGTAATGTGAATAAGGAAAATGAATTAGCAACAAGAGTTTACGGGATGTACATAGCTCAGTGGTTAACGCTTCTGACTTTGAGCATCGAATTCGCAGGTTCGATTCCTGCTGAAGTCTAGAAAAAAAAAGAAGTCTGATGAGGAGATGTGGTGATCTCCGAAATAGTGCTATAACTTCTACCGCTTAGACTTTGTTGCTTTTTCAATTTTTCCTAATAAACAATCGTGGTACAAAGCTCAATAAAAATATTAAAAATAAAATGTTAACAAGCCACAATAACATTGACAAGTAATGTGTTTTAACTCACCAGAATATTCTCTTTCATTTGATACACATACTGGCTTTTAAGTACATACAGCCAGTCAATAAAGTTTAGGTACAGCGAATTTTTTACAATATGGGCAACTATTTTTTAAATATTTTATTTTTCGATAATTTTTATAAAAATATGGTCAATTCTACAACAAAAAACCCAAAAATCAGGGTTCCGAACCTTGTGCAAAATTAAAGAAAATTCCGCAAAATTTCATTAAAATATTGCACTTTTTATTTGCGCTCTCTAGAAAGAAGTTGGGTATGCAGTTTTTTAGCCTATTCAATTTTAGTATAACAAAGTGCAAGTTTGTGGTGGCTAGGACTTACCATTGATTTTTAGGAATTTTTTTTGTTGAAGGTGTCGCTTATTTTCTCCATATAAAATAATGTTTGATAATTTTTTTATATGGAAAAAATATGCGACACCTTCAACAAAAAAATTTCCCAAAAATCAATGGTAAGTCCTGGCTTCCTCATACTTGCACTTTATTATACTAAAATTGAATGGGCTAAAAAAAACTTCATACTCAAATTTTTTCTAGAGAGCGTAAATAAAAAGTGAAATATTTGAATGCAATTTTGCAGAATTTTCTTTAATTTTGCACAAGGTTTGGAACTTTTCTTTTTGGAGTTTTTGTTGTAGAATTAACCATATTTTTATAAAAAATTTGCAAAAAATAAAATATTTAAAAAATAGTTGCCCGTATTGTAAAAAATTCGCTGTACCTAAACTTTATTGACTGACTGTATATTGCACTGAAATTTTTAAATAATTTTTTTAATCACTCATATCTTTTAAATTTCAAAGTTCTTTTAAAAAATCCTGACGTCAGAGAGAAAAATTAAGAACCGTAAGGTATTATATCTGTGTTCGTTTGGAAAAGTAGCTTATGTCGAAACGCTGGCTTTAGTATAATACGTCATTCCCTTTATTCTTTAAACGACAAGGAATTTTTGGATGAGACTTAACAAGAATATTGACTTGCTAGTATTGGAACTATTTCTTGCACGTTTATTTGCCAAAAGTTTTTCAACGGCTCAGTGCCGTATGCAGTATGCAGTATACTGCGAATGCCGATTTATACTAAAGCCAGCCTTTCGACATAAGCTACTTTTCCATAGGAACACAGATATATATGTGTATTGGGCTACACATTAACAAAAACAATGTTAAATATTAAATAAACAAAAGTAATATAGGCAAAACTGGTGGACATAAAGCGTTTCTATTATTGTCACCAGTGTTAATTACAAATCCCGGAAATCCCGCTTTGGCCATTTTTCCTTTTTAAAATACATATTTCTTTTCCACTGTGTTGTTTTTTATTTTATTCGTTTTATAAACACATACGCAAATTGAGATCGGAACATTACCCGCAATTGGAGAATGAAAATTGGCTTTCTGACTTAATGTTCTTTACCGATATGATGGAACATTTGCAAAACTTGAATTTGTCTCTACAAGGAGAGAATAAAACTGTTTTTGATAGGTCGCACATTATTTTAAGTTTTGAAGCTAAACTACGTCTTTTTATACATGATCTCAAAAAAAGAATATTTCATCATTTTCCATGGCTAGAAAAAAATATTGCACATGTCAAAGAGGATAAATTGGACCCCTATGTCGCAAAACTACATACATGATTTAAAGCAGATTTTGAAAAAAGATTTGCGGATTTGAAATTATTTAAATGTACGTTTGCATACTTCAAACCCCCTTTTTATGTAACATAATTTAGGATGAATTTACAATATCCGAAATACATGCATTGCCATTGTTTTAATTCTGGCAACAAGTACCAGATTTAAAATATCCGCTGTTGAAAACCGCTGCGTGCCGTGTATTTAAATTTTTGGTACAACGTATAACTATGAATCTGTACTCTACAATAAGTTTGTTCGACACGAGCGAAACAGTTTCCGGGCAGAAATGTAAAAGAAGTCAATTTGAAATAACAACCGTTGTTTGTTGACATCCGATAGCAAATTTTGTAACATAAAAAAATGTAAAATAGCACTAAAGGTTCAGAGATGTAGTTATTTACTAATTTTATTAGCTGTATAATAAGATAAATACACATAAAATCATTGTTTAGAAATGATTTTTTGATTCCGAACGCGAAAAGTGGTTTTTACGTTCCTCACGCTCTGGACACTTTTGGCGCGAGTTGACACATTTTTGACACTTGCGAGAGAGTAATTATTTTTACGCTCTAATTACCGAAACCGCCCGGAAAGCATGTGGAACAAACCTAATAAGAGGTTTTTTCCACACGATCCCGCGGGAAGGGCTGCCAACGTGGCTCAAACCGTGCCATTTTTGGCCCTATTTTGCATTAAATGGCACTTAATTTTTCAATTTGGTACAAAGTGCCAATATAACACTTTTCAAAAATAGTAATATTTAAATTAATTTTTGTGAAATCCATTGCGTGTACTTCTTTTTCTCAACTAAAATTCTCTAATTTCTAAAGATTATTCAACTAGTTTATCTTATTTTGTCTTTGCACTTTTGTTTTAGAAATGTGGTTCATATTTTATTGCTTAATAGGATGGATCGAAAAGGATGGCACCTTTTTTGGGACTTTTATTTTTCTATTTGGCCCATTTTGGCACTTTTAAAAACTTGTTTGAGCATCAACCACACAAGGTTTGTAATCTACCATATACTCCCGTTTTTGAGTAGTTTTATTTTTACTCGCCAAAATTTTCTTTAAAAAGTTCTCCAGCACTAAACACAGTAAGGCTGCTCAGGATTTTGTGCATATCGATGGAATATCGACCTATCTCGATCATATGTACATAGAGTGCTGCGAATAATTATAAACAAAAGCGAAATGCTTCGCAGAAATTGTGGTATTTAATTAGAAGAAGTTTTAAAAACTTAAGTTAAAATTATGCATTTAAAAAATAACAGGAATCGTATGACTTCTTCTTCTTCTTCTTCTTCTTCTTCTTTCTTGGCGCTGTAACCGCCTAAGCGATTTTGGCCGAGTTCAGCAAAGCACGCCAGTCGTTTCTTCCCTATGCCAACTGACGCCAAGTGAAGCCAAGTCCTTCTCCACCTGATCTTTCCATCGCAGTGGGGGCCTCCCTCTTGCTCTGCTACCACCAGCGGGTTCCGAGTTGAATACTCTCAGAGCTGGAGCGTCGGTGTCCATA